AAAGCGTTTCGTGGGGAGTTTTTTTTGGAAAGTTTTCTTATTACTCGAGGATCACTACCAACGAGTTATAATAAGATCAGAGTTTCCTTTCCACTCGAATGGTGTCGATAGACAGATTGGTTTCTCTGTAGGACTGTAAGATTCGTTGGAGGGCCATATCTTCTCCAGAACTGAGGGTTATCTGTTACATTTTGGAATTCAAAGAGATCTTCATAACATCTGAAATGACAACTAGGAAGTCTCAGAGACTTGGTGAAATTGAAACAGTGAAACAGACAATACAACATGGAAGTGTGATAGTGGGCAGGGGATGGGCAGCCTTCCAAGGAGAAGGCTGCGGGGAGGGGCATTTTAACATCATTATATAGAAGAGGTCATGCCCATTTTTTTCATAATAACTTAGCTATTTTTTCCAAAAAGTAGCCTCTGGTTATCCGTCCAATCCCTCGATACGCCTTCGGCGCATCTTCGGGATCGGCCGGATAACCGCTCGGCTTTTGGCAGGGGGGTGGGGGGATCCGAACCCGTCGGGCTCCAGTACCGGCTACCCACTAACCACTTAGCTACCAGGCCCCAAACCCCTAAAACTACTTNCAGTACCGGCTACCCACTAACCACTTAGCTACCAGGCCCCAAACCCCTAAAACTACTTGTTCCATAAATCCCTCGGATAGAATCACAAAAAAAATAAAAATTTGGTACAAACTCCAAGGTTCGCAATGGAGCGAACCTTGGAGGAACTCCTCGATATGATGTAAAAACCATTTCGAGTAGTTACTTTCACTCCCACTCCTCACAAAATTTCCCACTTTGGATAAATTCCCAACTTCTTTCTATATTTTTCATAACTAGTATCGGCTCTTACAGAACATTCATGTTCATTCACTTCAACAACTCCTTACCTTTTCATCAGTTCGAACAGAAATCTTTCAAGGAAAGACACAAAGGTGGGGCCAGAGTGGGCTCTCCTTTCAAGATTACTCTTCGAATTGACTCCGAAACAAGCTTTGATTGGAGCGAATGTCATGAACAGCAAAA